TTGTGGTAGGAAAGAAACTCAAGACGTTATATTATAGTGCCCCACAACCCTAACCACTTAGCCTTAAAGTCACATCTTATATCATGTTTGCCGGTTGTTGCCTTTCTTAAATAAGGAGTAAATAGGTTACAAAGAGCCGGGTGAGGGCCACGCTGGGCCCTACCCAAACCCATCCCACAAGGTCTAAAGGTTAACTCAAACCCTATTGTTTTATATAAGGCATTAATTTTATAATATGAAAATGAAACACACCTCAAAACCCATTGAAATTAGTTCTAGTGCTGGAAAAGGCTTAAATGTGTTCATCTACACCTAGAGATCTATGTATATAAAAATAACTAAAAAAGAGGATTTCAACTTTTAAAAATAGAGCATCTCGTAACAAACATATATAATTTTGAATGAAAATAAATAAAAATAAAAATATTATTTTTAGTTTTTTTTTTGAAAAACAATTCTAGTCCAATCCCTCAAAGGGGCGTCAAGCTAGGTAATTTTGATTATAAATAAGGTTTTTGTTATCTTATGGATCAGAAAATACTTTGTGTTGTTTTTGTTTAATACATGCGGTGGGATTATTGCACCAAATTCTTATTTGTTTGAGGAAGACTGTAAATTGAGAAATAAAGGGAAGAATATGATGAAACAAAGAGCAAGAAGGAGAAAAAGAAAGGAGAAAGGAAAAAGGATTGATGATTTAGTGATGAAACTCCTACTCTCGTTCTCTCTATTCTTGCCCTCCCTCACTCTTCTTCTCTTGCTCTCTCCTTCCCTCTCTAGCTCTGTATCGTTCTAGTATGCTCTCTCCTCATATTGAGAATGGCGTTCAAAGCTTAGGGCTCTTGGAGCTATGGAGCTCCTGTTGTTTCTAGTTATGGTGGAAGTGTTCGCAGCTATGGCTTTGGGGGAGCTCGAGATGAGTCAACAAGCTCACAACATGATTTACGGGATGGTGCTGCACTTTCTTTGTCCAAAATCATCAACATTGGCCCTTCAGCTTCGATCAATTGGCCTTCCAAGCTGAAAATGCCATGGTGCCCACCTATAGTAGATATGGCTCGTTTCGAGGATTGGGCTTTTAAAGCATGGAAACGCAAAGTAGTGAGCAGAACTATTCCCGGTAACTAGATTCTTATCAGCTGCGGATCTAGTGCTGATGCAGGTTCGCTAAGCAAAGGTTCTGGAGGATGCAAGGTGCATTACTCTCTTTGCAATTGTGGGATTCTTCTGCTAATTTATCGATGATCAAGTCAATCCTTTGTGTGGCTCCGGATTGAAGGCATTCATATTCAGGCTTGGACCAAGGATGGCTTCGAAATGGTTCTCTTGGAGTGCGGTAAGCTCATTGAAATTGA